GATATTTGGGGGGTCCCAGGAGGGATTTGGGGGATTTTGGGTCTCCCAGGTGAGCTCAGAGGATTCAGGGAGTTTGGGGGTGAATCTGGGGGTCCCAGGTGGAGTTTGGAGCACCCCAGGTGAATTTTGGGGTGATTTGGGGGGATTTTGGGTGGAACTGGATGAGGTTTGGGGGTCCCAGGTGAGTCGGGGGAATCCTGGGAGATTTTGGGGTCCCGGGTGGATTTTAGGGGGAATTTGGGGTCCCAGGTGAGGTTTGAGGGGAATTTAGGGGATTTGGGGGTGAACTTGGGGGATTTTGGGGGGGTCCCAGATGGATTTTAGGGTGAGTTTGGGGAATTTTGAGGGGTCCTGGATGGGTTTGGGGAGTCCCAGGTGAGTCTGGGAATCCCGGAAGGATTTTGGGGGGTCCCAGATGGAATTTGGGGTGAATTTGGGGGATTTAGGGGTTCCCAGGGAGAAACTGGGGTCTCTGAGTGGATTTTGGGGGTCCCAGATGGATTTTAGGGTGATATTGGGGGATTTTGGGGAATCCTGGATGGCTTTAGGGAGTCCCAGATGGGGTTTGGGGGGGGGTCCCAGGTGAGATTGGGGGAGAATTTTGGGGTTCCCAGGTGGATTTTAGGGTGAATTTGGGGAATCTGGGGGGATTTTAGGGGGTCCCTGGTGGATTTTGGAGGTCCCAGGTGAGTCTTGAGAGGATTTGGGGTCCCAGGTGAGCTCTGGGGGCCCCATTTGGGTTTTGGGGTGAATTTGGGGTCCCAGCTGAACTTTGGGGGTCCCATTTGGGTTTTGGGGTGAATTTGGGGGATTTTGGGGGGAGGTGACACCCCCAGACCCCCCTGTCCCCTCAGGTGACCCCGACGGAGCCCGAGGGTGGCATCGGAGCCACCGAAACGTCTCCAAACACCCCCAAAGTGTCCCCGAGTGCCACCCGCCAGTGACACCAAAGTGTCCCCAAGCGCCACCACCCCCCAGAGCCGCCGGGACCCCGCTGTGTCCCCAAAGTGCCACCCAAGTGCCACCACCCCGATGCCACCACGTCCCCGAAGTGCCAGCGGTGGCTCCTGAGGCCACCAAGGTGCCACCGGCCCCTTTGTCCCCAGAGTGCCACCAGGCCTTGCATGTCCCCAAAGTGCCACTGCTGCAGTGTCAGCGCGTCTCCCAAGGGTCCCCCAAATGTCATCATGTCCCCCAAGTGTCCCTGTCCCCAAGGTGCCACCTTGTCTCCTACGTGTCCCACAAGTGCCACCACGCTCTGGTGTCACTTTGTCCCTAAAGTGCCACGCCCAAATGTCATCATGTCCCTGAAATGTCCCCAAGGTGCCACCACCCACTGCAGTGTCCCACAGGTGCCACCCCTGAATGTCACCATGTTCTCAAAGTGTCCTCAAGGTGCCACCACCACCCCATGTCCTGTGTCCCCAAGGTGCCACCACTGCAGTGCTATGTCAATAAAGTGTCCCTATGGTGCCACCACCCCCAGTGTCCCCAAAATGCCACTACCCCCAGTGTCACCACATCAATAAAGTGTCCCCAAGGTGCCACCACAGCAGTGTCCCTGTGTCCTTCAAGTGCCACCACCCCTGCAGTGTCCCCAAAGTGTCACCCAGGTACCACCATCCTCCCTTTCATCGTGTCCCAAATGTGTCCCCAAGGTGCCACCACCTCCCAATGTCACATTGTCCGCAGTGTCCCCAAAGTGCCACCTCACAGTGTCACCCTTGAACACCATCATGTCCCCATGGTGCTGCCACCCCCCAGTGTCCCCGTTCCCTGTAAGTGCCCACCTTGTCCCCAAGGCGTTCCCGAAGTGCCACCACCCCTGGTGCCACCCAATGTCCCCAACCAGTGACGTTCCCACGCTGCCACCACTGATGGACAGACACCCTGAGGACACTGGGGACACCCAGGTGACACAGGGACCTCTCAGTGACCCCAGGTGACAACGGGGACCCTGAAGAGGGACACAGGTGACACTGGGAGCCTTCAGGTGGGGACATGGGGACCTCCAAGGTGGGAGTGGGGACCCTGAAGTGACCCCAGGAACTCCCCAGGTGACCTCAAAAGTTACCCTGAGGCCCTCCAGGTGACAGAGGTGACAATGGGGACCCCCAGGTGACAGTGAGACCCTTGAGGTGACACAAGGACCCCCAGGATGGACACGGGGACCCCCAGGTGACCCTGAAGTGACACTGAGACCCCCCCAGGTGACACTGGGAGCCTTCAGGTGGGGACATGGGGACCTACAGGGTGGGAATGGGGACCCTGAAGTGACCCCAGGACCTTCCAGGTGACCCCCAAGGTGACAAGGAGACCTTCCAGGTGACACTTGGGTGACTCTGAAGTGACACAGGGACATGCAGGTGACCCCAAAGTGACACTGAGACCCTGCAGGTGACCCCAAAGTGATACCCAGGTGACACTGGGACCCACAGGTGACCCTGAAGTGACGTTGAGAACTCCCCAGGTGACACTGGGACCCTCCAGGTGACCCCAAAGTGACCCCTGGACCTTCCAGGTGACCCTGAGGTGACACAGAGAACCCTCCCAGTGACCCCAGGTGACCCCCAAGGTGACAATGAGACCTTCCAGGTGACACTTGGGTGACTCTGAAGTGACACACAGACCTCTGGGAGGGACACAGGGACATGCAGGTGACCCCAAAGTGATACCCAGGTGACACTGGGACCCACAGGTGACCCTGAAGTGACGTTGAGAACTCCCCAGGTGACACTGGGACCCTCCAGGTGACCCCAAAGTGACACCGAGACCTTCCAGGTGACCCCAGAGTGATGCCCAGGTGACACTGGGGACCCTCAGGTGACCCTGAAGTGACACTGGGGACCCTTGGGTGACCCATGTGACATTGGGGAGCCCCAGGAGGGGACACAGAGACTCCCCAGATGACCTTAAAAGTGACCCCAGGACCTCGCAGGTGACAATGGGGACCCTCGGGTGACCCCAAAGTGACCCCAGGTGACCCTCCAGGTGACCCCAAAACCTTCCAGGTGACCCTGAGGTGACACAGAGACCCCTCCCAGTGACCCCAGGGGACCCCCGAGGTGACAACGAGACCTTCCAGGTGACACTTGGGTGACTCTGAAGTGACACACAGACCTCTGGGAGGGACACAGGGACATGCAGGTGACCCCAAAGTGACACTGAGACCCTCCAGGTGACCCCAAAGTGATACCCAGGTGACACTGGGTACCCTCAGGTGACCCTGAAGTGACACTGGGGACCCTTGGGTGACCCATGTGACATTGGGGACCCCCAGGAGGGGACACAGAGACCTCCCAGATGACCTTAGAAGTGACCCCAGGACCTCACAGGTGACACTGGAACCCTCGGATGATCCTGAAGTGACATTGAGGACCCCCCAGGTGACATTGGGACCCTCCAGGTGACCCCAAAACCTTCCAGGTGACCCTGAGGTGACACAGAGACCCCTCCCAGTGACCCCCAAGGTGACATTGAGACCCTCCAGGTGACACTGGGGACCCTTGGGTGACCCATGTGACATTGGGGACCCCCAGGAGGGGACACAGAGACCCCCCAGGTGACCTTAGAAGTGACCCCAGGACCGCTCAGGTGACACTGGAACCCCTCAGGTGACCCCAAAGCGATGCCCAGGTGACACTGGGACCCTCAGGTGACCCCAGACCCCCCCAGGTGACCCAGGAGGTGACACAGGTGACACCCGTGGTGGCTTTTCCATCCCGAGTTTATTCCAGACCCGGGGGCGACTTTTCAATATGAAAAACGAAAGAAACGGGAAAAAAACAAAACCATCCAAAAACGGGAGAGCGCGACCGGACAGCGGGAACGGCGACGGGGTCGGGGACAAACGGGGGGGAAATGGGGAAAACGGACAAAAATGGAAAAACGGACAAAAATGGGGAAAAACGGACAAAAATGGGGAAAAACGGACAAAAATGGGGAAAAACAAATAAAAAATGGGGAGAAACGGGCAAAAAATGGGGAGAAATGAACAGAAATTGGGAAAAAAATGAACAGAAATTGAGGAATACGAACCCAAAATGGAGAAAAATGGGTAAAAAAAGAGCAAAAATAGGGAAAAATCAAGCAAAAACTGGAAGGACCCAAAAGTTGGGAAAAAGGAATGGAAGTGGGCTGAGAGTGAGCAAAAACAGGGGAAAAAAGAGCAAAAATTGGAAAAATGGAAAAAAAAGACTAAAAATTGAGAAACTGACCAAAAATGAGGAAAAATGATAAAAATTTATGAGACTGAAATGAGGGGAAAAAGGAGGGAAAATTTACCAAACCAGGGGAAAAATGACAGAAAGAAAGAGGGAAAGAACCAAAAAATTGGGAAAAAAAGAATAAAATTTGGGAAAAATTACAAAAAAAGGGAGGAAATGGTGCCAGAGTAGAGCGGGGGAGGGGACGAGGCCGTGGTGGCAGAATGGGAGGGGCACAGGTGATGATGATGATGATGAAGGTCAGCAGCTCTTCCAGGATGAGGCTGGAGGTCAAGAGCTCTTGGAGGCTCTTCCATGATGAGGATGACTGCGATGAAGGTCAAGGCCAACTGACCAGCCCCAATGAAGACCAAGGGCTGAGGATGATGAAGATCGAAGACTCTGCAAGGACCACGATGAAGGCCAGGAGCTCCTGCAGGCTCTGTGAGGAGGATGATGATGAACTCTCGGGACTCCCAGGATGATGAAGGCTGGAGACTCCTTGACAAGGACCACGATGAAGGCCAGGAGCTCCTGCAGGCTCTGTGAGGAGGAGGATGATGAACCCTCAGGACTCTTCAAGGATGATGAAGGCTGGAGACTCCTTGACTATGATGAACCTTGAGGACCCTTCAGTGATGATGGAAACTGCAAGTTCTGACCATGATCAGGATTGGAAACTCTTCAGTGGTGATGAAGACTGGAGACTCTTCAAGAATGACCATGATGAAGGCTGGGGACTGTGAGGACAATGCTGAAGGCTGGGGACTCTTCGAAGATGATGATGAAGGTTGGGAACTCTTCAGTGCTGCTGAAAATTGGGAACTCTTTAAAGATGAAGACGACAGAAGTGGGGAGCTCTGACCATGATCAAGACTGGAGACCTTTCAAGGATGACGATGATGAAGATTGGGGACTCTGCAGTGACGGTGAAGCCTGGGGACCATGAGGACAATGCTGAAGGCTGGGGACTCTTCCAGGACGACGATGATGAAGGTTGAAGACCGTGAGGGCAACGCTGAAGGTCGGGTGGGGACTCCGCTGCCGCCGCCGATGACCAAGGCCAACACTGACGATGATGAAGGACAATGATGATGACACCGAAGGCGCCGCCCACCGGTTGACGCCTCACTTGGACAACACACCGGGAAGGGGAGGAGCAACACTGCCGAGGATCAGGACCTCTGGAGAAACCCCTCAGGCCTCCTCTTCGGCCTCCTCGCCGAAATCCTCCTCCTCCTCGGCCGTGGCGTCCTGGTACTGCTGGTACTCGGACACCAGGTCGTTCATGTTGCTCTCGGCCTCGGTGAACTCCATCTCGTCCATGCCCTCGCCCGTGTACCAGTGCAGGAAGGCCTTGCGCCGGAACATGGCCGTGAACTGCTCCGAGATGCGCTTGAAGAGCTCCTGGATGGCCGTGCTGTTGCCGATGAAGGTGACGGCCATCTTGAGGCCGCGCGGCGGGATGTCGCACACGGCCGTCTTCACGTTGTTGGGGATCCACTCCACGAAGTAGGAGCTGTTCTTGTTCTGCACGTTGAGCATCTGCTCGTCCACCTCCTTCATGGACATGCGGCCACGGAAGACGGCGGCCACCGTCAGGTAGCGGCCGTGCCGCGGGTCGCAGGCGGCCATCATGTTCTTGGCGTCGAAGACCTGCTGGGTGAGCTCGGGCACGGTGAGGGCGCGGTACTGCTGGCTGCCCCGCGAGGTCAGCGGCGCGAAGCCGGGCATGAAGAAGTGCAGCCGCGGGAAGGGCACCATGTTGACGGCCAGCTTGCGCAGGTCGGCGTTGAGCTGCCCGGGGAAGCGCAGGCAGGTGGTGACGCCGCTCATGGTGGCCGACACCAGGTGGTTGAGGTCGCCGTAGGTGGGCGTGGTCAGCTTGAGGGTGCGGAAGCAGATGTCGTAGAGCGCCTCGTTGTCGATGCAGTAGGTCTCGTCCGTGTTCTCCACCAGCTGGTGCACGGACAGCGTGGCGTTGTAGGGCTCCACCACCGTGTCCGACACCTTGGGCGACGGCACCACGCTGAAGGTGTTCATGATGCGGTCGGGGTACTCCTCGCGGATCTTGGAGATGAGCAGCGTGCCCATGCCCGAGCCGGTGCCGCCGCCCAGGGAGTGGGTCAGCTGGAAGCCCTGCAGGCAGTCGCAGCTCTCGGCCTCCTTGCGCACCACGTCCAGCACCGAGTCCACCAGCTCGGCGCCCTCTGTGTAGTGACCCTTGGCCCAGTTGTTGCCGGCACCGCTTTGGCCTGGAAAAGGGGTGGAAAGGTTGGGTTGGGTTCTCCAAACCACTTTTGGGAACCTTCAAACCACCTTTGGGAACCTTTGCACCAACTCTGGAGACCCGTAAACAGTCTTTAGGGACTTCAAGAACCCTAAACCACCTTTGGAAACCTTCAAACCACTTTTGAGAACATCTACACCTTCTTTGGAGACCTTTAAACCATCTTTAGGGACTTCAAGAACCCTAAACCACCTTTGGAAACCTTCAAACCACTTTTGAGAACATCTACACCTTCTTTGGAGACCTTTAAACCATCTTTAGGGACTTCAAGAACCTCAAAACACCATTGGAAACCTTCAAACCACTTCTGAGAACCTTTACAACACCTTTGGAAACCTTTAAACCATCTTTAGGGACTTCAAAAACCTCAAGCCACTTTTGGGAACCTTCAAACCACCTTTGGGAACCTTTACACCACCTTTGGAGACCTGTAAACCATCTTTAGGACTTCAAAAACCTCAAGCCACTTTTGGGAACCTTCAAACCACCTCTGAGAACCTTTGCACCAACTCTGGAGACCCATAAACCATCTTTAGGGACTTCAAGAACCTCAAACCACCTTTGGAAACCTTCAAACCACTTTTCAGAACTTTTACACCACCTCTGAAGGATGTCCTCAGATGTCCCCAGGAATGACCCAAAATGTCCCCAAGTGTGTCCCAGGTGTGTCCCAGCTGTCCTTGCCATGTGCCAAGAGTCCCCAGATATCTTGAGCGTCCCCAGGTGTTCCTCAGAAGCTCCCAGATGTGTCCCATGTGTGTTCCAATGTCCCCAGGTGTGTCCCAGATGTCACCAAACATGCCCAAGATGTCCCCAAGTGTGCCCACAGCTGTCCCAGGTGTCCCCAAGTGTGCCATTGGGGTGTCTCAGTTATGTCCCCAGATGGTGCTCCAGGCATTCCAGATGTCCCCAAGCTGTCCCCAGGTGTCCAAGGCACCCCCAACGATGTCCCAATGTCCCCAGGAGATCCCAAATGTCCCCAAGGTGTCCCAGATGTGCCCCCAGATGTCCCCAGGCACATCCCAGGTGTGTCACTCACCAAACACGAAGTTGTCAGGCCTGAAGATCTGCCCGAAGGGGCCGGAGCGCACCGAGTCCATCGTGCCAGGCTCCAGATCCACCAGGATGGCCCTGGGCACGTATTTGCCCCCTGGGGACAACAAAAATGTCACCAAAACCCAGAGAATTCAACCCAAAACCAACCGGAATTAACCCCAAACCACCCAGAATCACCCTAAACACACCCAAACCATCTAATAAACACCTGGAATTACAAGAAAACACCTGAAAATAACCCAAAACAATCCAGTACTATTTAAAAAGCACCCCAAAACCTTCCAAAACTACCCCAAAACCACCAGGAAATATCCCAAAAGCAACCCATAATTACCCCAAAACCATCACAATCACCTCAAACCCACCTGGAATTACCCCAAAACGTCCCCAAGGTGTCCCAGATGTGCCCCCAGATGTCCCCAGGCACATCCCAGGTGTGTCACTCACCAAACACGAAGTTGTCAGGCCTGAAGATCTGCCCGAAGGGGCCGGAGCGCACCGAGTCCATCGTGCCAGGCTCCAGATCCACCAGGATGGCCCTGGGCACGTATTTGCCCCCTGGGGACAACAAAAATGTCATCAAAACCCAGAGAATTCAACCCCAAACCACCCAGAATCACCCTAAATACACCCAAACCACCCAATAAATGCCTGGAATTACAAGAAAACACCTGGAAATAGCCCAAAACAATCCAATACTATTTAAAAAGCACCCCAAAACCTCCCAAAATTACCCCAAAACCACCAGGAAACATCCCAAAAGCAACCCAGAATTACCCCAAAATACCCAGATTTATCTCAAAACCATCAAAATCACCTCAAACCCACCCGGAATTACCCCAAAACCAGCCCTAATCACCCCCAAAATGCTCAGTTAACCCAGAAATACCAAAAATTGCTCCCAAAATATCCCAAACCACCCTGACACCCAAACACCCAAAATCACCCCAATAACACAAGAAATGTCCCAAAACATCTGGAATAACACCCAAAATTGACCCCAAAAGGAGCCAAAATCACCCCAAACCACCCAGAATTACCACATAAATATCTGGAATCACCTCAAAACCACCCCAAATCCACCTGAATTCACCCCCAAAACATCCACAATCCCCCCCCAAATCATCCCAAAATTAACCCAAATCACCTAAATTCACCCCAAACCCAGGAAAAATCACCCCAAAAACAGTTCCAAATCCACCCAAAACAAATTGTAACACCTCCCAATTTACTCAAAAATGTTTAAAATTCCCAAACCATCTAAAATCATCTCAATCCCACTTCTGAAGCACCCAAAATTGCCCAGAACACCCCAAAATGACCTAAATCCAATCCAGACCTCCCCAAAACTCAACCCTAAAGCACTTCCAAACCCCCAAACTCACCCCAATAACCTAAACCATCCCAAATCACCCTAAAACCTCCCAAATGAATCCCCAAAATCATCCCAAAGCAACCCCAAAATAACCCTGAAGTCTCAAATTCACCCCAAATTCTCTAAATCCACCCTAAAAACTCCCCCAGAGCAACCGAGAATGGGACACGGGGACAAGGAGGAGACAAGTGACAACGGACAGGAAACACTGTGGAGGGAACACAGGGGACAGGGTGACACAGAGGGGTGACAAAGAGCAGTCAGCACTGGGGGGACATCAGGGACAAGGTGACAATGGACAGGTGACACTGGAGGTACACTGGGGACAAAATGTTGGTCACAGAGAACAGGGTGACACTGGGTGGGTGACACAGAACAGGGTGACACTGGGTGGGTGACAGAGAACAGGGTGACACTGGGAAGGGTCAGGATGCAGCGACACCAGGGGAGTGCCACTGCAAGGTGACACCAGGGGGGTCACAAGGTGACGCAGGAGGTGGCAATGGACACCAGGGGATCCGCAGGATGGAAGGTGACAGGGGACAAGGTAACACTGCGAGGTGACAATAGAAAAGTGACACTGATGGGTGACCAGACTGGAGGTGACAGAACAATGTGACCCCACTGATGTGACAAACAAAGGAGTGGCACTCAGGGACCCAGAAGATGAGGTGGCACAGAGCGTGGACAAGGACAAAGTGACACTGGGAGGTGACAGCAGCACAAAGGTGACACTGAGGGGGAACCATGGGGACACTGTGACATAGAGATGACAAAGTGATAACATACAGGAAAGTGACATTGGGGGTTGACAAGGGGGACAGGGTGACAATGGGGAGGATGAGGTGACATAGGAAGGTGACAAAATAGTGACAATGTGGGGGTGAGGAGGTGACACTGGAAGCAACAAAGTGACAGCAAAGGAAAGTGACAAAGAAAGGTGACAGTGGGACAAGTGACACTGGGAAGATGACAAATGCCACCAAGCACCACCCAGCACTAAGTGACACAATGAGAAGGGGAAGGGCAGTGTGGCAGCTGTCCCCAGGTGCCACCAGCTGTCCCCACCTGTGGCCTCGTTGTAGTAGACGCTGATGCGGTCCAGCTGCAGGTCGCTGTCCCCATGGTAGGTGCCCGTGGGGTCGATGCCGTGCTCGTCACTGATCACCTCCCAGAACTGCGGGGACAAGGGGACAGCTCAGGGACAGCCCACGAGTGGGTTTGGGACAAAAACTGAGGATTTGGGGGAAAAACCCCAAAGGTTTTGGGAAGAAAAATGGGGATTTTAGGGGGGAAAAAGGGGGGGTTGGGGGTGTGATCGGGGTGAAAAGGGGCGGGGCTTGGGGAGGAGTGGGATCAGCTTGGCCACGCCCACTTTGTGACAACTGAGACCTGAGTTGGGGGAAAAATGAGGATTTGGGGAAAAAATTGGGATTTTAGGGGGAGAAATGGAGATATCTGGGTAAGAAATGGCAGTTTGGAGGTGTGGGGTTAAAAGGGGTGGGGTCAGCTGGGCCAAGACCAAAGCAGACTTAATTTTGGGGAAAAAAAAGGGGGTTTGGGGGTTAAAACCTGGGATTTTTGGGTAGTGAATAGAGATTGGGGCTGTGACTGGGGTTAAAGGAAGTGGAGCCAAAGGACAGGTGGGGGCAGCTGGGCCACACCCATTTCAATACACCTGGGACCCCATTTTGAGGCAAAGAATGAATATCTGGGGCTAAAAAAGTCCATGTATTTTAGCGTAAGAAACTGGGATTTTAAGGCAGGATGCGGCGCTTAAGAAGTCACAAAAAAAATTCTAGATTTAAAAAGAAAACTATTTGGGATTTAAAAGAAAACTGGAGGCACTGTGGAGGAATTGTGGAGGCAGGCCACCCCCACTTTGTGACACCTGATATTTATTTTGGGGGAAAAATGGGGGCTTCTGGTACCTTATAGGAATATTGAGATGTAAATCCAACCCCACCCACCTTCCCTAGGCAGCATTTTTGGGGAAAAACAGAAGAATTTAAGGATTTAAGAAATTCGGGGGCATGGGCAGGTGACAGGCGGGGTCCACAAAACCTCCCTCACAGAGAGGACCTGTTTTGGGTTGAGAAATGGGCATTTTGACAATATTAGAAGAAAATTTAGGGTGTTATAAGGTTCTAAAACAGTGTGGCCGCAACGCACAGCCACTGCATGACCCTTTATGGGGTAAAAAAGGCGATTTTTAGGATTTTTTTGGGGTTTGGAGGCGTGGGGAAGGGAAGTGGGCGGAGCTTTGTGAGGGAGGGGCGTGGCCAGGGCGGCGCGGTCCCGCTCCCCAAAAAGGGCGGGAACGCGGGAAAATGGCGGCAACTCGTTAAAATTCAAACCGACCGCTCCAAAATCGGCTTTTTGCACCCCAAAACGGCCTTTTAATGGCCCCAAATCAGGAATTTTATACTCAAATTCAGCTCGGGGGGCTCCACATTTTGTATTTGAAGTTGAGATTCCACAAATGTGGGGGGTTTGGGTTAAAATGGGCCGAGGGGCTGGGGGGGCGACGCAGCGTGAGGGGGAAAATGAGGTGAAAAAAGGCAATTTTGGGGTTAAAAATGAAAAAATGTACAAAAAAATGGGGATTTGGGGACTGTGGAAAGAAAAATGCAATTAAAATATTAATTTGGTATAAAAAAAACATTAATTTTGAGATTGTAAAGTAAAAAAAAAAGGGTAACTTGAAATAAAAATGGTGGTTTGGTGATTATGGGGGAAAAAATCTATATAAAAAACCACAATTCCTGGTCTAAGAAAAAAAAAGGTTAAAAATGTCAATTTTGGACATGAAGAGGAAAACAGGTTTAAAAACCAGCAATGTGAGGTAAAAATATAGTGGGAAAATGAACTTAAAATATTGATTTTGGTGCTGAGGTTAAAATCCGGCATTTTAGGGCATTGTGGGCAAAAATGGGTTAAAAAATAGGGATTTTTGGGCTGATGGGACAAATGGGTTAAAAAAGGGCAGTTTCAGGAAATGTATGAAAGAAATGGCTCCAAAAGAAATTAATTTGAGATAAAGATTTTGGGCAAATAAAAAAAAAAAGAGTTTATAAAGATCAAACTTGAATAATCAGCGTTTTTGGGCAAAACAAAAAATCTGCATTCTGAAGCCTTGGAAAATACAGGCTTAAAATTAACAATTTTTGATGAAAAAATTTGAGTTTGGTGCAGAAACTGAGACTTTAGTGACAGAAATATAGATTATAAGGGGAAAAGAATATTTAAGGGTAAAATTTACGAATTTTGAGCTAAAAAAAATGTGCATCTGGGGCTAAACCACCATTTTTGAGAATATATTTGACTTGTTAAAAATACCAGTATTTTCTGTACAATAAAGATTCTTTTTTGGGCCTCAAAATCACAATTTCGGTTCAAAACCTCCTTTCCAAAACTTAAAAAAGAAATAGAAATTGCTTTTTAGGATTAAAAACTCCAACTTGAGGCATTTTGGAGAACAAAGATTTCGATGTGGGGCAGGAAATGGAAATGTTCACTTCGGGGGGCAGGAAATGCAGTCTGGAGACACAAAGAGAGGGGGCTGGGGCTGAAATGAGCTGTTTTTCGACAAAAATTTACATTCAAAAAAGAAAAAAAAAGGAGGTTAAAGGAGACCGTTTGGTGGGTGAAGTGAATATTCAGGGGAAAAAAAGGGATTTTTAAAGCAGCAAAACAATTTGGCATTCTGGTATGAAGAAATGCAAATTCCGAGGCCTAAAACAACGCTTTTTTGGGCAAAAATTGCCAGTTTGTATTAAAAAGTATTTATACATATAAAACGTTAATTTTAGAGAAAAAGTGGTGGTTTTGTGGCAAGAAAAAAGCGGATTTGTGAGCACAAAGCTGCGATTCTTCCCCCGACCCTCCATTTTGGGGCTGGAAACCTCCATTTTGGGGCTGGGAGCTCCCTACGAGCTGCAGAAAATCCCCATTTTAACCTCAAATTCTACTCCTGGAAAATAAATCCAGCCCTTTTTCTCCCCAAAACTCCACGTTTTGGGGATAGAAATCTTGATTTTGTACCAAAATGTTGTTTTACAAAACAAATACGCTGAGCTGGAGCTCTGAAGCTCCATTTTGGGGCTGGAAAAAAAAATGGTTTTCGGGCCAAAAAGCTCCATTTTAGTACCAAAAAACCTTTCAAAAATGAAAAAACCCACTTAAATCCAAAATATTGACACTTTGTGAACTAAACCGGTTTTTTTTGAAAATAAAATAATCCATTTTTACGCATAAAACGGCCATTTCAGAGAAAAAAGCTGATTCAAAGTAAGAAAACCAGCAATTTTTGAAATGAATATTGCAATTTAAATACCCCAAATCCATTTTAAGGAATAAAAAGCAATTTTGGTCATAAAATCCTGCAGTTTAAAAGAAGCTTAAAAATCTTAATTTTACGGAATAAAAAAACCCCAGAATTTGGAACAAAAAATGGGAACACACCTCTTAGAGAATAAAAATCTTTATTGTGGATTTTGAGCCGTTTTTTTAATGGGTTAAATCCTCTCATTTTCGGGTCTGACCCTTCCGAGCGTCACGCCCCGTTTGGGGGTCAAAAATCTCTATTTTGGTGCACAAAATCCACACTTTTGAGGTAAAATTGGACGGTTTTGCCGTGAAAATAGCAGATTTTAGGGGGGAAAATACCAAATTATGGGGTGAAAACAACCGATTTTAATCTGAAAAAGCAGCATTTAAAATATGGTGTTTTAAAAACGAAGCAAATCAGGTTTTAAATTTAATTATGAGTATAGTGTTGCGAAAAGCTTAATTCTGGGGTTAAATCCTTTAATTTCGGGGCTCCTCGCCGCCATTTTGGCGCCTTCCCCGCCCATCCTCAGCCAGACCCCTTCGATTACGGGCAAAAAGCACCATTCGCGGCCAAATCTTCGAAATAGTCATTTAAATTAAGATGAAATAGTAAATTTTTCTTTAAACACCAGAAAAAAAGGCGATTTTGGAGGCGAAGTTGCCGCGGTTCGGGGCCGCCGCCCTCAGCCGCCATTTTGCGGCCGCGTGGGGGGGGGGGGGGGGGGGCGTTCGGACACCAAAAATCCTCATTCAGCGACAGAATCTCCCCATTTTCACCCCAAACCCGCCCCATTCAGCACCGCCCCCTTCCCTCTCAGACGCTTTTGTGGGGGGAAAACTCCGATTTTGGGGTAAAATCGCCCTGGTTTGGGTCACTCTTTGTCTTGGCGCGCGGGGGATGGGGGGAGCTCTTAAAGAGGCAACGCCGCCCCGGCGGGGGATGGAGGCGGGGCCCACTGCGCTCACCTTGGCGCCGATCTGGTTGCCGCATTGGCCCGCCTGGATGTGGACGATCTCCCTCATGGCGGCGGCGGAGTGTGGCGGGGGGGCTCGGACCCACCCGGACGGCGCGGAGGCGCTCGGAAAACTGAATAAAAAACCCTAAAGAGGCGACGCGGCCCCTTTAAGAGCGGAGAGCAGGCTCGAGCGCGACAGCGGTGAAAATGGCGGCAGCCGCGGCCCCGCGCGCGCTCATATAGGACAAAGCCGGGGCTCCCATTGGTCGGCACCGCCCGCTTTCCGTCCTTCTATTGGTTAATTGTGTTGTCAATCCAACTTCCTGCTCTTCAATTGGTTTCACCCGCTCTTTAGCCCCTCCCACCGGCGCTCCGGTGCTCTCGGAGGACCATCCCGCCCCGTCTCGGTGGTCTGGCGATGATCGACAGGCACCACAGCCAATGGGAAGTGCAGATGGGCGTCGGCGCGCGGAGAGAGCGGCCAATGGGAGCGCGAGGGGCAGGGCCCGGCGGTGATGGCGCGGGAGGGGTGAGCGGGGGGGAAGCCGGGGCCGCTTTTGGGGTCCCTGAGGGAATTAGGGGAGACATTTGGGGGAGTTGGTGTCCGAGGGGGTTCTGGAATCTCCTGGAGGGATTTGGAGGTGACAGCGGGGGTTGGAGCGGTGCTTGGTGAGGACTGGGGGCCTCGGGGGCAGTTTTGGGGACTCCCTGAGGGAGATTAGGGGTGTCTCTGACGGGCGTTGCAGATTCCTGAGGAAAGTTTGGGGTCTCTGAGGGAAGTCTGGGGGCTTGGTTTTGCTATTTGGCGTTCCGCAGAGAAATTTTGGTGTTCCTGAGGGGAGCTGGGACTTGATGAGGGAATTTGGGGGTCCGTGAGGGAGGTTGGGTGTGTCTGAGGGAGGTTTGGGGTCCATGAGGGGAACTGGGGCTTCCGTGATGGAAGTTTGGACTCTCTGAGGGTGTTGAAGGCTCCTGAGGGGAGCTTGGGGCGCCCCGATGGGGATTGTGGTTTCTGTGAGGGAATTTGGGGTTCCTGAGGGATGTTCGGGTTTCCTGAGGAAATTCTGGGGTCTGTGACAGGGGTTGGTGGTTCTGTGAGAGAATTTGGGGTTCCTGAGGGGTGTTGGGTGTTCCATGAGGGGAGCTGGGCATTCGATGAGGGAATTTGGGCTCCCTGAGGGATACTGGGGGTTCTGTGAGGGAATTTGGGCTTCCTGAGGAAGGCTTGGAGATTCCTGGGGGAATTCCAGGTCTTTTGGGTGCAGTTTTAGGGGATCCTTGCGGGATATTGAGTCATTTGGGTGCAGCTTGGGCAGTTTTGGGGGGTCCCTGGGACATTTTGGGGGTCCCTGGGTTTGCTTTGAGTCTTTTTGGGGCGGTTTGGGAGGTCCCAGGCAGCAGATTTGAGACCTCTGGGGTGGTTTGGATCTTTTGGAGGCAGCTTGGGGGTCTCTGGGTGATTTTGGGGCGTTCCTTGGAGAATTTGGGGATGTTTGGGATGGTCCTGGGGTGGTTTGGGGGGATTTTTGGGCGGAATGGGAGTTCTGGGGGGTCCCTGGAACAGTTTGGGGTTCCCGGGGAGGTTTGGGGGTCCTTGGTGCAATTCAGAGGGTTTGGGGGCAGTTTGTGGAGTTCCCAAAGGGGTTTTGGGGCTCTCCGGGGTTTTTTTGGGATCCTTGGGAGATCCTGAGCCCCCCCAACTCCCCTTTGCAGTGCCCAGGAGGATCCAGCTGTGTCCCCAGATGTTGAGGGCTCCCAAAAACGCCTTACCTGCCCCCAAAATGCCCCAAATGTGATTGGGGAGGGGCCAGATCCAAATGCTGGGGACCTGAAAACGCCCAAAGTGGCCCAAAACACCTCAGAGGCTCCAGGTATGGCAGCAGAAACCACAAATCCAGATGTGCTGTGGGCCAAAAACGGGCACCGGACACTGCAGGTGGACAGCGACACAGATGTGGAGGAGGAGGAGGGGCCAAATCCAGATGCTGAGCCCCAGAAACAGCTTAAAATGACCCAAAACGTGCCCGAAACCCCAGATGTGGGGCTGAAAACCCCAAATCCAGATGTTCTATGGCTTAAAAATGGGCACGGCACTCTGCAGCTGGAGAGCGACACAGATGTGGAGGAGGAGCCTGACCCAGAAGTGGAGCCCCCAAAACGACTGAAAATTACCCCAAATGTGCCCGAAACTCCAGATGTTGCAGGAAAGACCCCAAATCCAGATGTTTCAGGCCCGAACATCTGTTGTGGAGTGCAGGTGGTGGACAGTGACACGGATGCGGAAGAGGATCCGGATGTGCAGCCCCCGAAAAGGCTCAAAGTGGTCGAAAACATGCCTGGAATTCCAGATGTGGAGGTGGAAACCCCAAGTCCAGCTGTGGGCGCGCCCAAAACTGGACACTGGACAATGCTGATGGACAGCGACACAGATGTGGAGGGGGAGGAGGAGAATCCAGATGTGCAACCCCCGAAGCAACTCAGGATGACCCAAAATGTGCCCGATATTCCAGATGTGGCAGCAACGGCCCCAAATCCAGATGTTTCACGCACCAAACTCCATTCCTGGATGCTGCTGGTGGACAGCGATACAGATGTGGAAGACGACGTGAGTCCAGATGTGCAGCCCCCAAAAAGGCTCAAATTGACCCAAAACGTGCCCAGAATTCCGGATGTGGAGGTGGCGACCCCAAATCCAGCTGTGGAAAGGCCCAAAATGGGGCATCAGACGCTGGTGGAGGACAGTGACACAGATGTGGAGGAGGATCCAGATGTGCAGCCCCCAAAAAGGCTCAGAAGGGCCCAAAATGTGCCCAAAGCTCCAGATGTGCGACGGGGGACAAGAAATCCAGATGTTTCCGGCCCCGCAGTCAGGTGTCAGATGCTGTTGGTCGACAGCGACACAGATGTGGAGGAGGATCCAGATGTGCAGCCCCTGAAACGTCTCAGAGCGACCCAAAACGTCCCTGAAACTCCAGATGTGGCTGCAAAGCCCCCGAATCCAGATGTTGCAGGGCCTGAAATCAGGTGCCCGGCGTTCCTGGTGGACAGTGACACAGATGTGGAGGAGGGGGAGGTGAATCCAGATGTTGAGACCCTAAAAAAGCTTGCAATGACCCCGAATGTGCCTGAGAGTCCAGATGTGGTGGCGCAGACCCCAGATGCAGATGTTGGGATGGCCAGAAGTGGGTGTCAGGCACTGCTGGCGGACAGTGATCCAGATGTTTCTCCTGCAAAAAGATGGGAAATTCCTCAAAATGTGCCCCAAACTCCAGATGTGCCCACGCAGCCCCCAAATCCAGGTGTGAAGGGGTCACAGAGGGGTCACGGGGCGCTGCTGGACGACAGTGACACAGATGTGGAGGAGGAGGAAAATCCAGATGTTGGAGCCCTAAAAAGACCTAAACCAAACCCAAACGTGCCTGAAACTCCAGATGTGAGGCTGAAAACACCAAATCCAGATGTTTCAGGCACAAAAATGGGGTGTGGAATGCTGCTGGTGGACAGTGAGACAGATGTGGAGGAGGATGAGGCTGATCCAGATGTTCGGCCCTTAAAAAGACAGAAAATGACCCAAAATGTGACCAAAACTCCACATGTGTCCACACTGACCCCAAATCCAGCTGTTGGAGGCTCTGAATCCAGATGTGGAGCCTTGGTGGTGGAGAGCGACCCGGATGTGGAGGAGGATGAGGCTGATCCAGATGTTCGGCCCTCAAAAAGACAGAAAACGACCCAAAATGTGCCCAAAACTCCAGATGTTGGGAGGCTCCAAAGGACCCCAAATGTGGCCGAAACGCCAGATGTGGAGGGAGAGGAGGAAGGGTGGGATCCAGATGTGGCCACCCAGCTGTTCCTGCCCCCAAATCCAGATGTGAGGGAGGACGAGACAGATCCAGATGTTGGGAGCCCAGAACGACTCAAAATGAGCCAGAAACCACCAGAAATTCCAGATGTGGAGGAGGACGAGGAGTCAGATCCAAACCTGCCCACCCAGCTGTTCCTGCCCTCTCCAGATGTTGGGAGCCCAGAAAGCTCCAAGGCAGCCCTGAAGCACCCCAGAATTCCAGATGTGGAGGAGAAAGAGGAGTCAGATCCAGATGTGGCCACCCAGCTGTTCCTGCCCTCTCCAGATGTGGAGAGCCCAAAACTACTCAACATGACCCAGAAAATTCCCAAAATCCCAGATGTGGAAGAGGAAACCCCAAATCCAGATGAGGAGGAAGAACAGGAGTCAAATGCAGATGTGGCCACCCAGCTGTTCCTGCCTTCCCCAGATGTTGGGAGCCCAGAAGGCCCCAAAACTACCCCAAAGGGCCCCAAAATTCCAGATGTGGAGGGGCTGCCCTCCCTGGATCCAGATGTGGCCACACAGCTGTTCCTGCCACCACACCCAGATGTGGAGGGCCCAAATCCAGATGTTCTGGGTCCAAAACAAACCGAAATGGCTTCAAATGACCCCAAAATTCCCGTTGTGAGGGCGGAGACCCCAGATCCAGATGTGGAGGGGGAGGAGGACTTGGATGTGGCCACCCAGCTGTTCCTGCCCCCTGATCCAGATGTGGAGGGGGAAGGACCCTCAGATCCAGGTGTTGGGTCCCCAAAAGCACCCAAAAGTCCCCTAAACCCGCCCGAAATTCCAGATGTGGACATGGAGAGCCCAAGTCCAGATGTGGAGGGGCCACCAAGGGGCCACAGGACGTTGCTGGGGGGCGCTGATCCAGATGTGGAGGAGGCGGGCCCAAATCCAGATGTGGCAGCCACAACAAGACCCCAAACGGCCCCGAAAGTCCCCGAAATTCCAGATGCGGAGGTGGACACCCCAAATCCAGATGTGGAGGGGCCTGGGAGCCCCGGCCGGGATCCAGATGTGGCCACCCAGCTGTTCCTGCCCCCCGCCCCAGATGTGGAACGCCCGGAAAGCCCCGAAAGGGCCCCGGACGAGCCCCAGGTTCCAGATGTGGAGGAGGTGGCCCCAGATCCAGATGTTGAGGGTCCCCCAAGCCCTGCCCAGGAGGAAGCAGAAGCTCCACCCATCCCACAGGTGAAGTTTGGGGGATCCCGGGTGATTTTGGGGGGGTCCCAGGTGGAATTTGGGGTGAATTTGGGGGATTTTGGGGGTTCCTGGGAGGATTTTGGGGGTTCCCAGGTGGAATGATGTGGACATGGAGAGCCCAAGTCCAGATGTGGAGGGGCCACCAAGGGGCCACAGGACGTTGCTGGGGGGCGCTGATCCAGATGTGGAGGAGGCGGGCCCAAATCCAGATGTGGCAGCCACAACAAGACCCCAAACGGCCCCGAAAGTCCCCGAAATTCCAGATGCGGAGGTGGACACCCCAAATCCAGATGTGGAGGGGCCTGGGAGCCCCGGCCGGGATCCAGATGTGGCCACCCAGCTGTTCCTGCCCCCCGCCCCAGATGTGGAACGCCCGGAAAGCCCCGAAAGGGCCCCGGACGAGCCCCAGGTTCCAGATGTGGAGGAGGTGGCCCCAGATCCAGATGTTGAGGGTCCCCCAAGCCCTGCCCAGGAGGAAGCAGAAGCTCCACCCATCCCACAGGTGAAGTTTGGGGGATCCCGGGTGATTTTGGGGGGGTCCCAGGTGGAATTTGGGGTGAATTTGGGGGATTTTGGGGGTTCCTGGGAGGATTTTGGGGGTTCCCGGTAGAATTTGGGGTGAATTTGGGGGATTTTGGGGGTTCCCGTTGCATTTTTGGGGGTTCCCGTTGGATTTTGGGATCTCCATCGCAGCCCCTCCCCCCCAGGTGCGGCGCAGTCGGCGATTGGCTGAGAGTGGAGGGGGCGGAGCCTCTTGTGACCCCACCCCCGCTCAGAATGGACATGATGAAGCCTCCAAGCCACGCCCCTCTGCCAAGCCACGCCCCCAGAGGGGGCAGGGCCAATCAGTGGCAGTGCTTGAAGAGGCCACACCCTCTGTGTCCATAAAAGGAAATGGGCGTGGCTCAAATGCAGCTCCGCCCCCAGAGGAGGAGGAGCCAGCAGAGGGCGCCAAGCGCAGGCTCCGCCCCCGGGCAGCGCCGGGCTCCGCCCAGATCCGGGTAAGGACCAGTATGGACCAGTATGGACCAGTAGAGGCCAGTATGGACCAGTACAGACCAGTATGGACCAGTACAGACCAGTACGGACCAGTACAGACCAGTAAGAACCAGTACAGACCAGTACGGACCAGTACCGACCAGTACCGACCAGTAGGGACCAGTATGGACCAGTAGGGACCAGTATGGGCCAGTAGGGACCAGTATGGGCCAGTATGGACCAGTACAGATCAGGAACCCCCCCCAGTGCCCCCATCCCCCCGCTGTGTCCCCCGCTGCTGGTCCTGGGGCTGGTGGCACCTGGGGATGTCCCCACAGTGTCCCCAAGTCCCCCAGGGATGTCCCCAAACTGTCCCAAGCCTGTCCCAGTGTTGCCCAGCTGTCCCCAACTCCTCAGGGATGTCCCCAGCGTGTCCTGAATGTGCCCCCAACCTGTCCCCACTGTCCCCAGGTGCTGTCCCCAGGCCTGGTGGCACTCAGGGATGTCCCCAGAGTGTCCTGAATGTGTCTCCAACCTGTCCCAGTGTCCCCTAGATGTCCCCAACCCCCCAGGGCTGTCCCCAACCTGTCCCCACTGTCCCCAGGTGCTGTCCCCAGGCCTGGTGGCACTCAGGGATGTCCCCACTGATGTCCCCAGGTGCTGTTCACGGGCCTGGTGGCCTCCCCGGCGCTGCAGGTGGCCCTGGGGACGCTGGGTGGCACCGAGGCCACCTCCGTGCACGACTGCAGCCACCTGGTGACCGATGGCATCCGCCGGACGCTGAAGTTCCTGTGCGCCCTGGGCAGGGGCGTCCCCATTGTCACCCCCCAGTGGCTGCTGGAGGTGACATCGGGGACAGTCGGGGGGGTTGGGGGATTGGGGACATTGTGGGGACATTGGGGACAATCAGGGAGTTGGGGACATTGGGGACATCAGGGACACCGAAGTCCCTCTGTGCCATCGCCAGGGGTGTCCCCATTGTCACCCCCCAACGGCTGCTGCAGGTGACATCAGGAACAGAGCGGGGTTGGGGACAATCGGGGGGAGTTTGGGGACAAGGAGAAGGATTTGGGGACAGGGGGTGGCACTGGAGACTTTGGGGGGCATCTGGGGACATTGGGTGGCCTTGGGGACAATGGGGATCTTGGGAATATTGGGGACAGCTGGAGTGGCCTTGGGGACAGGGACACTGGGGGATTGGGGACATTGGGGGGATTGGGGACATTGGCGGGATTGGGGACATCAGAAACATCAGCTCAGGGACAATGGGAGGGGATTTGGGGACAAGGGGAGGGGCCTTGGGGACAGTAGGGGTGGCCTTGGGGACTTTGGAACTTCGGGGACCACGTGTGGCTTTGGGTGACAAGAGAGGGTGACCTTGGGGTCAAGGGAAACGACTTGGGGACAACCAAAGGGACTCTGGGGACGAGGGGGTGTCCTTGGGGACACCGGGGTGGCCGTGTGTGACCCCCGTGTCCCCGCTGTCCCCAGAGTTCCCACAGTGGCCGCCCGCTGTCCCCAGGTCCCTTCCTGCCCCGGGACCTCCCCTGCGAGCGGCGCTTCGGCTTCCGCCTGCGCCCGGCGCTGGCCCGGGCCCGGGAGCGGCCCCTGCTGCAGGTGACACTGTCCCCACATGTCCCCAATGTCCCCATGTGTCACCTAAACCCATCCCTGAGCCAGGGCACAGGCCCTGCCGCAGGACAGTGACAGCAGTGTCCCCAATGTCCCCAATGTCCCTGGGCCCAGGAATGGCTCCTGCTGCAGGTGACAGTGACAGCAGTGTCCCCAATGTCCCCAATGTCCCTGGGCCCAGGAATGGCCCCTGCTGCAGGTGATACTGTCCCCAAATGTCCCCAAATGTCACCTAAACCCATCCCTGAGCCAGCCCCGGGTACAGCAATGGCTCCTGCTGCAGGTGACAGTGACAGCAGTGTCCCCAATGTCCCCAAATGTCACCTAAACCTATCCCTGAGCCAGCCCCGGGTACAGCAATGGCCCCTGCTGCAGGTGACAGTGACAGCAGTGTCCCCAGTGTCCCCAGTGTCCCTGGGCCCAGGAATGGCCCCTGCTGCAGGTGACAGTGACAGCAGTGTCCCCAATGTCCCCAATGTCCCTGGGCCCAGGAATGGCCCCTGCTGCAGGTGATACTGTCCCCAAATGTCCCCAAATGTCACCTAAACCCATCCCTGAGCCAGCCCTGGGCATGGTGGCACCCCCTCCTGCAGGTGATGGTGACACGAATGTCCCCAAATGTCCCCAACCTCTCCAATGTCCCTAATACCCCAATGTCCCCAATGTCCCCAACATGCCCATTGTCCTCAATGTCCCTCCAGTCATCCCCCATGTCCCCAATGTCCCAATGTCCCCAATGTCCCAACCCTCCCAATGTCCCCACCACCCCAAAGTCCCGATCCCCTCAATGTCCCCCAACCCCCAAATGTCCCCAATGTCCCCAATATCCTCAATGTCCCCAACTGCCAAATGTCCCCAATGCTGAAATGTCCCCAATCTCAAGCTGTCCCCAATGTCCCCACCCCCCTGAATCTCCCCACTGTCCCCTGATGTCCCCACCGTCCCCTGATGTCCTCTCTGTCCCCGCTGTCCCCTGATGTTCCCTGGGTCTGAGAGCAGCCCCTGCTGCAGGTGACACTGTCCCCACATGTCCCCAATGTCCCCATGTGTCACCTAAACCCACCCCTGAGCCAGCCCCAGGTACAGCAATGGTCCCTGCTGCAGGTGACAGTGACAGCAGTGTCCCCAAATGTCCCTGGGTCTGAGAGCAGCCCCTGCTGCAGGTGACACTGTCCCCACATGTCCCCAATGTCCCCATGTGTCACCTAAACCCACCCCTGAGCCAGCCCCAGGTACAGCAATGGTCCCTGCTGCAGGTGACAGTGACAGCAGTGTCCCCAAATGTCCCTGGGTCTGAGAGCAGCCCCTGCTGCAGGTGACACTGTCCCCACATGTCCCCAATGTCCCCATGTGTCACCTAAACCCACCCCTGAGCCAGCCCCAGGTACAGCAATGGTCCCTGCTGCAGGTGACAGTGACAGCAGTGTCCCCAAATGTCCCTGGGTCTGAGAGCAGCCCCTGCTGCAGGTGACACTGTCCCCACATGTCCCCAATGTCCCCATGTGTCACCTAAACCCACCCCTGAGCCAGCCCCAGGTACAGCAATGGTCCCTGCTGCAGGTGACAGTGACAGCAGTGTCCCCAAATGTCCCTGGGTCTGAGAGCAGCCCCTGCTGCAGGTGACACTGTCCCCACATGTCCCCAATGTCCCCATGTGTCACCTAAACCCATCCCTGAGCCAGGGCACAGGCCCTGCCGCAGGACAGTGACAGCAGTGTCCCCAATGTCCCCAATGTCCCTGGGCCCAGGAATGGCTCCTGCTGCAGGTGACAGTGACAGCAGTGTCCCCAATGTCCCCAATGTCCCTGGGCCCAGGAATGGCCCCTGCTGCAGGTGATACTGTCCCCAAATGTCCCCAAATGTCACCTAAACCCATCCCTGAGCCAGCCCTGGGCATGGTGGCACCCCCTCCTGCAGGTGATGGTGACACGAATGTCCCCAAATGTCCCCAACCTCTCCAATGTCCCTAATACCCCAATGTCCCCAATGTCCCCAACATGCCCAATGTCCTCAATGTCCCTCCAGTCATCCCCCATGTCCCCAATGTCCCAATGTCCCCAATGTCCCAACCCTCCCAATGTCCCCACCACCCCAAAGTCCCGATCCCCTCAATGTCCCCCAACCCCGAAATATCCCCAATATCCTCAATATCCCCAACCCCCAATGTCCCCAATGTTCCCAATGCTGAAATGTCCCCAATCTCAAACTGTCCCCACTGTCCCCAACCCCCTGAATCTCCCCGCTGTCCCCTGATGTCCCCACTGTCCCCTGATGTCCTCACTGTCCCCACTGTCCCCCTGATGTCCTCTCTGTCCCCTGATGTCCTCTGTCCCCACCGTCCCCTGATGTCCTCACTGTCCCCACCGTCCCCTGATGTCCTCTCTGTCCCCGCTGTCCCCTGATGTCCTCTCTGTCCCCAGGGCTACCAGGTGCACGTCACCCCCAGTGTCCAGCCGTGCCCCGAGGACATGCGGGACATTGTCACCTGCTGTGGTGGCACCTTCCTGCCACAGCTGCCCCGGGAGCACGCGGTGAGGGGACAGTGGGGACATCGGGGAACTTGGGGGACGTTGGGGAGGTTGGGGACATTGGGAACACTGGGGACACTGAGGGATACTGGGGACATTGGGGGAATGGGCTGTGTTTGTTATTTGGGGTTTTTTTCTGGGTTATTTGGGGTTCCTCATGGGTTTTTTGGGGTTTCTGATGTGTTTTTTGGGGTTCCTGATGGGTTATTTGGGGTTCCTCATGGGTTATTTGGGGTTTCTGACTGGCTTTTTGGGGTTTCTGATATGTTTTTTTGGGTTCCTGATGGGGTATTTGGGGTGTCTGACTGGGTTTTTGGGGTTTCTGACTGGGTTTTTGGGGTTCCTGATGGGTTATTTGGGGTTTCCGACTGGGTTTTTGGGTTCCTGATTGGGTTTTTGGGGTTCCTGATGGGGTATTTGGGTTCCTGATGGGTATTTGGGGTTTCTCACTGTGTTTTGGGGTTCCCCAGCCCCGTGTCCTGGTGATCTCGTGTCCCCAGGACCAGGCTGTGTTTGTTATTTGGGGTTTCTGGCTGGGTTTGTCCCCAGGACTGGGCCATGTGGGTTATTTGGGGTTTCTGACTGGATTTTTTGGGTTCCTGATGGGTTATTTGGTCTTCCTCATGGGGTTTTTGGGGTTCCTGACTGGATTTTTGGGGTTTTTGACTGGATTTGTGGGGTTTCTGGTGGGTTATTTGGGTTCCTGATGGGTTATTTGGGGTTCCTGATGGGTATTTGGGGTTTCTCACTGTGTTTTGGGGTTCCCCAGCCCCATGTCCTGGTGATCTCGTGTCCCCAGGACCAGGCTGTGTTTGTTATTTGGGGGTTTTCTCTGGGTTATTTGGGATTCCTCATTGGGTTTTTGGGGTTTCTGCTGGGCTTTCTGGGGTTCCTGATGGGGTATTTGGGGTTTCTGGGGTTCCCAACTGGGTTTTTTGGGTTCCTGATGGGGTTTTTGGGGTTCCTGATGGAGTATTTGGGGTTCCTGATGGGTTATTTGGGGTTCCCGACTGGGTTTTTTGGGTTCCTGATGGGGTTTTTGGGGTTCCTGATGGAGGGTTTTTGGGGATTTCTCACTGGGTTTTGGGGTTTTTTAGAGGATATTTTTGGGGTGTTTGGTGGTTTTGGGGTTTCTCATTGGGTTTTTGGGGGGGATTTGGGCTCCTGACCCCATTTCCCCCAGCCCCCATGTCCAGGTCCCCAGGGCCAGGCTGTTCGAAGTTTTGGGACTTCTCATGGGGGTTTTGGGGTCCCTCTCGGGGCTATTCGGGGTTCTTTTGGGGTCTTTGGGGTTTCTGATGGGGCTTTTGGGGTCCTGACCCGTTTCCCTCCAGCCCCGGGTGCTGGTCCTTTACTGTCCCCAGGACCATTGGGATCCCTTGGGGTTTGGGGTCCCTCTCTGGGTTTTTGGGGCTCCTCATGAGGCATTTTGGGGGTTCCTCATGGGGTTTCTCACTGGGTTTTTGGGGTCCTGACCTGTTTCCCCCTAGCCTTGTGTTCTGGTGATCTCAAATCCCCAGGACCTTTCTGATCCCATTGGGGTTTGGGGTCCCTCTCTGTGTTTTTGGGGTTTCTCTTGGGGTTTTGGGGCTCCTCATGGTGTTTTTTGGGGTTCCTCATGGGGCTGGGTTTTTGGGGTTCCTCATGGGGTATTTTGGGGTTCCTCATGGGGTTTTTGGGGTTCCTCATGGGGTTTTTGGGATTTCTCACTGGGTTTTTGGGGTTTCTCACTGGGTTTTTGGGGTTCCTCATGGGGTTCTTGGGGTTCCTCATGGGGTTTTTGGGGTCCTGACCCGTTTCCCCCTAGCCTGTGTCCTGGTCATCTCAAATCCCCAGGACCTTTCTGATCCCCTTGGGGTTTGGGGTCCCTCTCTGTGTTTTTGGGGTTTCTCTTGGGGTTTTGGGGTTCCTCATTGGGTTTTTGAGGTTCCTCTCTGGCTTTCTGAGGTTCCTCATTGGGTTTTTGGGGTTCCTCTCTGGCTTTCTGAGGTTCCTCATTGGGTTTTTGGGGTTCCCCAACCCCTTGTGCTGGTGATCTCGTGTCCCCAGGACTGGGCTGTGTTTGTTATTTGGGGTTTTTTTCTGGGTTATTTGGGGTTCCTGACTGGGTTTTTGGGGTGTCTGACTGGATTTTTTTGGTTCTTGATGGGTTATTTGGGGTTCCTCATGGGGTATTTGGGGTTTCTCACTGTGTTTTGGGGTTCCCCATCCCCATGTCCTGGTGATCTCGTGTCCCCAGGACTGGGCCGTGTGGGTTATTTGGGGTTCCTCATGGGTTATTTGGGGTTTCTGACTGGGTTTTCGGGGTTCCTGATGGGGTATTTGAGTTCCTCATGAGTTATTTGGGGTTCCTGATGGGTTATTTGGGGTTTCTCACTGGGTTTTTGGGGTTTCTGATGTGTTTTTTGGGGTTCCTGATGGGGTTTTTGGGGTTCCTTATGGGTATTTGGTTTCCTGATGGGGTATTTGGGTTCCTGATGGGTTATTTGGGTTCCTGATGGTTATTTGGGGTTCCTGACTGTGTTTCGGGGTTCCCCAGCCCCGTGTCCTGGTGATCTCGTGTCCCCAGGACTGGGCCGTGTGGGTTATTTGGGGTTTCTGACTGGGTTTTTTGGGTTCCTGATGGGTTATTTGGGTTCCTGATGGGGTATATGGGTTCCTGATGGGGTTTTTGGGTTCCTGATGGGGTGTTCAGGGTTCCTGACTGTGTTTCGGGGTTCCCCAGCCCCGTGTCCTGGTGATCTCGTGTCCCCAGGACCGCTGGCTCTGGCCCCCGGCCGTGGCCGCGCGGCTCCCGCTGCTCTCGGCCGAGCTGCTGCTCTCGGGGGTCCTGCGGCAGCGCCTGGAGCTGGCCCCGTTCCTGCGGAGCCCCTGGCAGCCCCCCGAAAGCACCCCCGAGCCCGAGGCCCCCGTTTCTCACTGTGTTTTGGGGTTCCCCATCCCCATGTCCTGGTGATCTCGTGTCCCCAGGACTGGGCCGTGTGGGTTATTTGGGGTTCCTCATGGGTTATTTGGGGTTTCTGACTGGGTTTTCGGGGTTCCTGATGGGGTATTTGAGTTCCTCATGAGTTATTTGGGGTTCCTGATGGGTTATTTGGGGTTCCTGATGGGTATTTGGGGTTTCTCACTGTGTTTTGGGGTTCCCCAGCCCCATGTCCTGGTGATCTCGTGTCCCCAGGACCAGGCTGTGTTTGTTATTTGGGGGTTTTCTCTGGGTTATTTGGGATTCCTCATTGGGTTTTTGGGGTTTCTGCTGGGCTTTCTGGGGTTCCTGATGGGGTATTTGGGGTTTCTGGGGTTCCCAACTGGGTTTTTTGGGTTCCTGATGGGTTATTTGGGTTCCTGATGGTTATTTGGGGTTCCTGACTGTGTTTCGGGGTTCCCCAGCCCCGTGTCCTGGTGATCTCGTGTCCCCAGGACTGGGCCGTGTGGGTTATTTGGGGTTTCTGACTGGGTTTTTTGGGTTCCTGATGGGTTATTTGGGTTCCTGATGGGGTATATGGGTTCCTGATGGGGTTTTTGGGTTCCTGATGGGTATTTGGGGTTTCTCACTGTGTTTTGGGGTTCCCAGCCCCGTGTCCTGGTGATCTCGTGTCCCCAGGATGGGGCCATGTGGGTTATTTGGGGTTCCTCATGGGGTTTTTGGGGTTTCTGACTGGATTTTTGGGGTTTGTGACTGGGTTTTTGGGGTTCCTCATGGGGTATTTTGGGGTTCCTCATGGGGTTTTTGGGGTTCCTCATGGGGTTTTTGGGATTTCTCACTGGGTTTTTGGGGTTTCTCACTGGGTTTTTGGGGTTCCTCATGGGGTTCTTGGGGTTCCTCACGGGGTTTTTGGGGTCCTGACCCGTTTCCCCCTAGCCTGTGTCCTGGTCATCTCAAATCCCCAGGACCTTTCTGATCCCATTGGGGTTTGGGGTCCCTCTCTGTGTTTTTGGGGTTTCTCTTGGGGTTTTGGGGTTCCTCATTGGGTTTTTGGGGTTCCTCTCTGGCTTTCTGAGGTTCCTCATTGGGTTTTTGGGGTTCCCCAACCCCTTGTGCTGGTGATCTCGTGTCCCCAGGACTGGGCTGTGTTTGTTATTTGGGGTTTTTTTCTGGGTTATTTGGGGTTCCTCATGGGTTTTTTGGGGTTTCTGATGTGTTTTTTGGGGTTCCTGATGGGTTATTTGGGGTTCCTCATGGGTTATTTGGGGTTTCTGACTGGCTTTTTGGGGTTTCTGATATGTTTTTTTGGGTTCCTGATGGGGTATTTGGGGTGTCTGACTGGGTTTTTGGGGTTTCTGACTGGGTTTTTGGGGTTCCTGATGGGTTATTTGGGGTTTCCGACTGGGTTTTTGGGTTCCTGATTGGGTTTTTGGGGTTCCTGATGGGGTATTTGGGTTTCTGATGGGTATTTGGGGTTTCTCACTGTGTTTTGGGGTTCCCCAGCCCCGTGTCCTGGGGATCTCGTGTCCCCAGGACTGGGCCATGTGGGTTATTTGGGGTTTCTGACTGGATTTTTTGGGTTCCTGATGGGTTATTTGGTCTTCCTCATGGGGTTTTTGGGGTTCCTGACTGGATTTTTGGGGTTTTTGACTGGATTTGTGGGGTTTCTGGTGGGTTATTTGGGTTCCTGATGGGTTATTTGGGTTTCCTGATGGGTATTTGGGGTTTCTCACTGTGTTTTGGGGTTCCCCAGCCCTGTGTCCTGGTGATCTCGTGTCCCCAGGACTGGGCCGTGTGGGTTATTTGGGGTTTCTGACTGGGTTTTTGGGGTTCCTGATGGGGTATTTGGGTTCCTGATGGGTATTTGGGGTTTCTCACTGTGTTTTGGGGTTCCCAGCCCCGTGTCCTGGTGATCTCGTGTCCCCAGGACTGGGCCGTGTGGGTTATTTGGGGTTCCTCATGGGTTATTTGGGGTTTCTGACTGGATTTTTGGGGTTTCTGACTGGATTTTTGGGGTTTCTGACTGGATTTTTGGGGTTTCTGACTGGATTTTTGGGGTTTCTGACTGGATTTTCTGGGTTCCCGATGGGTTATTTGGGGTTTCTCACTGGGTTATTTGGGGTTCCTGATGAGGTATTTGGGTTCCTGATGGGGTTTTTGGGGTTCCTCATGGGTTATTTGGGGTTTCTCACTGGGTTTTTGGGGTTTCTGATGTGTTTTTTGGGGTTCCTGACGGGTTATTTGGAGTTCCTGATGGGTTGTTTGGGATTCCTGATGGGTATTTGGGGTTTCTCACTGTGTTTTGGGGTTCCCAGCCCCGTGTCCTGGTGATCTCGTGTCCCCAGGATGGGGCCATGTGGGTTATTTGGGGTTCCTCATGGGGTTTTTGGGGTTTCTGACTGGATTTTTGGGGTTTGTGACTGGGTTTTTGGGGTTCCTCATGGGGTTTTTGGGGTTCCTGATGGGGTATTTGGGTTCCTGATGGGTTATTTGGGTTCCTGATGGGGTTTTTGGGGTTTCTCACTGTGTTTTGGGGTTCCCCAGCCCTGTGTCCTGGTGATCTCGTGTCCCCAGGACTGGGCCGTGTGGGTTATTTGGGGTTTCTGACTGGGTTTTTGGGGTTCCTGATGGGGTATTTGAGTTCCTCATGAGTTATTTGGGGTTCCTGATGGGTTATTTGGGGTTCCTGACTGGGTTTTTGGGGTTTCTGACTGGATTTTTGGGGTTCCTGATGGGGTTTTTGGGGTTCCTCATGGGTTATTTGGGGTTTCTGACTGGATTTTTGGGGTTTCTGACTGGATTTTTGGGGTTTCTGACTGGATTTTCTGGGTTCCCGATGGGTTATTTGGGGTTTCTCACTGGGTTATTTGGGGTTCCTGATGAGGTATTTGGGTTCCTGATGGGGTTTTTGGGGTTCCTTATGGGTTATTTGGGGTGTCTGATGGGGTATTTGGGTTTTTGGGGTCCCCGAGCCCCCCCCGAGCCCCCCCCGGACCCGGAGCCGCCGGGGGGCGCCAATAAAGTGAATTTGGGCAGCGCAAATTTGGGGGATTTGGGGGTTTTGGGGTCAAAAATCCCAAATTTGGGGGAGGGGAGGAGGTTTGGGGACACGGTGGGGACATTGGGGACCCCTTGGGGACATCGGGGACCACCCTGGGGTGGCCATGGTGGCCTTGGGGACATCCCAGAGCTCTTGGGGACAGCAGGGACTGTCTTGGGGACACTTTGGGGACACTGAGGACCCTTTTGGGGACACCGAGGACCCTTTTGGGGACCCCCCAGGATGGTCATGGTGGCCTTGGGGACATCAGAGAGCCCTTGGGGACACCAGGGACTGTCTTGGGGACACCGGGGACCCCCCCTGGGGTGGCCATGGTGGCCTTGGGGACATCCCAGAGCTCTTGGGGACAGCAGGGACTGTCTTGGGGACACTTTGGGGACACCGAGGACCCTTTTGGGGACCCCCCGGGCTGGTCGTGGTGGCCTTGGGGACATCAGAGAGCTCTTGGGGACACCAGGGACTGTCTTGGGGACACCGGGGACCCCCCCTGGGGGGGAGGGGAGGAGGTTTGGGGACACGGTGGGGACATTGGGGACCCCTTGGGGACATCGGGGACCACCCTGGGGTGGCCATGGTGGCCTTGGGGACGTCAGAGAGCCCTTGGGGACACCAGGGACTGTCTTGGGGACACTTTGGGGACCCCCCGGGATGGTCGTGGTGGCCTTGGGGACATCGGGAATCCTTCTGGGGGCACCAGGGACCCTCCTGGGGACATTGGGGACTCAGAGAGCCCTTGGGGACACCAGGGACTGTCTTGGGGACACCGGGGACCCCCCCTGGGGTGGCCATGGTGGCCTTGGGGACATCCCAGAGCTCTTGGGGACAGCAGGGACTGTCTTGGGGACACTTTGGGGACACCGAGGACCCTTTTGGGGACCCCCCGGGCTGGTCGTGGTGGCCTTGGGGACATCAGAGAGCTCTTGGGGACACCAGGGACTGTTTTGGGGACACCAAGGACGCTTTTGGGGACCCTCCGGGATGGCCATGGTCGCCTTGGGGACATCAGGGACTTCTGTGGGGACACTTTGGGGACATCAGAGACGCCTTGGGGACATCAAGGACCCCCTTGGGGACACTTTGGGGACATTGGGGGCCCCCTTGGGGACACCAGGGACCCTCCTGGGGACATTGGGGCCCCCCTGGGTTGGTCATGCGGAGGTTGGGGACATCAAAGGCCCCGTTGGGGACACTGGGGACCCTTCTGCCTTTAGCCCCGCCCCCTCAGTCCTCAGCCAATCAGCGCTCACGCCCCCGAGCGCAGCAGCCAATGGCAGCACAGGGCGGGCGGGACTTCAGTTGCCATGGGAACGCCCGAACCTGGTCGCCATGGCAACTGCCAGAGACGCTTCCGGGTTCCTGTTCCCGCCCCCTGCCGCTCTCAGCCAATCAGCACTCGCGGAGCGGAACAGCCAATGGTAGTGCAGAAGGGGCGGGAGCAGCGTTGCCATGGGGACGGGCCGGGCGGTCGCCATGGCAACCGGGCGGCCGGGCCTGGGGCGGGAAAAGCGGGAAAAGGTAAAAAAGGAAATAAAACCCGGGATGGGGGTGGGGTGGGAGAGCCTGGGGGACCCTGGGGACAGCAGGGACCCCTTGGGGACAGTGAGACCCCTTGGGGATGGGCGTGGGGCCTTCGGGGACCCTGACTGGCCCTGCCAGGACCCAATCTCCCCTCAGGACTCCGGTTTACCCTGCCAGGACCCCCTTCCCCCCTCAGGATCCCGGTTCACCCTTTCAAACCCTCATTTACCTCTCTAGGTCTCCCCGGACCGCATTAACCCCTCCTTAAGAACCTCAGAACCTCATGTAACCTTTCTAAATCACATTTCCCCTTCCAGGACCCCATTTCCCCTTCCAGAACCCCATTTCCCCTTCCAGAACTCCATTTTCCCTTCCAGGACCCGAACCCCCCTAGCCCCGCCCACATCTCCCAGACGCGCCCTCCCATTGGCCGGGGGGAGGAGGGATCCGGGAGCCGCCGCCTCTGATTGGCTGAGGCGGGAGCGCGGGAAAGCGGCGGCGGGGGCTCCTTCCCGGCGTGCACTGCGCGGGGCAACTGGGAGAGACTGGGAGGGGAACTGGAAGGTACTGGGAGGGACTGGGGGGAACTGGGAGGGACTGGGAGGGACTGGGGGGAACTGGGAGGGACTGGGAGGAACTGGGAGCATGGGGAGCGGGAACTGGGAGGGACTGGGAGGTTACTGGGACTGGGGACAGGCTATACTGGTCCATACTGGTCCATACTGGGAACTGTTCCCCACAGATCGCCGATGGCCGAGCCCCGCCCGGGCCCTCCCAGTGCTCCCAGTGCCTCCCAGTGCTCCCAGTTGCCCCCTCCCAGCCTGGAGGGGCTCATCCCCCCCTCCCACTTTGTGCTGCGCCCCAGGTGAGACTCCCAGTGCTCCCAGTAACCTCCCAGTAATTCCCAGTAACCTGCCAGTAACTCCCAGTAACCTCCCAATAACTCCCAGTAATCCCCAGTAATCCCAGTTCCCCCTCCCAGTGCTCCCAGTAACCCCCAGTAACGTCCCAGTAACCTGCCAGTGCTCCCAGTAACCCCCAGTAATCCCAGTTCCCCCTCCCAGTACTCCCAGTAACCCCAGTCCCCCTCCCAGGTCCCTGGGGGCGGAGCTTGAGGCAGAAAAGGGGCGTGTCCATGAGTTGGAGGCGGAGCTGGAAGCGCTGAGGGGGCGGAGCCAATGCCTGGAGGCGGAGCTTGAGGCAGAAAGGAGGCGGAGCAAACAGCTGGAGGCGGAGCTTGGAGCAGAAAAGGGGCGGGGCCAACGGCTGGAGGCGGATCTTAATGCAGAAAGGGGGCGGAGCCACGCACTGGGGGCGGAACTCGATGCCCTGAGGGGGCGTGGCCAGCGGTTGGAGGCGGAGCTGGATGCGGAAAAGGGGCGGAGCCAAATCCTGGAGATGGAGCTGGAGACCCTGAAGGGGCGGGGCCTTGGCCCAGAGGGGGCGGAGCCAAGCCCAGAGCAGGTGAGGCCTCCCAGTGCTCCCAGTGACTCCCAGTACTCCCAGTGCTCCCAGTAACTCCCAGTACTCCCAGTGCTCCCAGTGCTCCCAGTCTCACCTCTCCCAGGTGTTCTGGGTTTGTCTCAGGGCCGGAGCCACCCCAGGAGGGACTGGGGACACCTGGGGACACACCTGGGGACACACCTGGGGACACTGGGGGCACAGCTGGGCCACATCTGGGGACACCTGGGTGCCTGTGGGACACCTGAGCACACCTGGGGGGCGTTGGGGACACACCTGGGAATGTTGGGGACACAGCCTGGGCTGCCCCAGGTGTGTTTGGGGTGTCCCAGGTGAGTTTTGGGGTGTCCCAGGTATGCTTGGGGTGTATCAGGTGCATTTAGGGGTCCCCCAGGTGAGTTTTTGGGGTCTCTCAGAGAAGTTTGGGGTGTCCCAGGGGTGTTTGGGGGCTTTCAGATGAGGTTTTGGGGTCTCTCAGGTGGATTTAGGGTCTCTCAGGTGTGTTTGGGGTGCCCCAGGTAAGTTGTTGAGGTCTCAGGTGAGTTTTTGGGGTCTCTCAGGTGAGTTGGGGGTTCCCCAGGTGAGTGTTTGGGGTCCCAGGTGTGTTTGGGGTCCGAGATGTGTTCTTTGGGGTCCCAGGTGTGTTTGGTGTCCCAGGTGAGTTTTTGTGGTCCCAGGTGTGTTTTTGGGGTGCCCCAGGTGTGTTTGGGGTCCCAGCTGTGTTTTTGGGGTCTCGGGTGAGTTTTTTGGGTCCCAGGTGTGTTTTTGCATCCTGGGTGTGTGTTTGGGGTCCCAGATGTGTTTTTGGGGTCCCAGGTGAGCTCTCTTTCTCTCCCCAGGTGTGTTTGGGGTCCCAGGTGTTTTTGGGGTGCCCCAGGTGTGTTTTTGGGGTCCCTGGTGAGCTCTCTTTCTCTCCCCAGGTGTGTTTGGGGTCCCAGGTGTTTTTGGGGTCCCAGATGTGTTTTTGGGGTCCCTGGTGAGCTCTCTTTCTCTCCCCAGGTGTGTTTGGGGTCCCAGGTGTTTTTGGGGTCCCAGATGTGTTTTTGGGGTCCCAGGTGAGCTATCTTTCTCTCCCCAGGTGTGTTTGGGGTCCCAGGTGTTTTTGGGGTCCCAGATGTGTTTTTGGGGTCTCGGGGGAGTTTTTTGGGTCCCAGGTGTGTTTTTGCATCCTGGGTGTGTGTTTGGGGTCCCAGATGTGTTTTTGGGGTCTCGGGGGAGTTTTTTGGGTCCCAGGTGTGTTTTTGCATCCTGGGTGTGTGTTTGGGGTCCCAGATGTGTTTTTGGGGTGTCCCAGGTGTGTTTTTGGGGTGTGTTTGGGGTGTCCCAGGTGATATCTCTCTCTCTCTCTCCCCAGGTGCTGCTGCACCGCTGGCGCCTGAAGGTTTTCCAGCTGCTGCTGCAGGCGAGGCTGCAACAGAGCCGGGAGCTGCAGCTGCAGGGACAGGTCAGGGACAGGGACAGGGACAGGGGACAGGGGACACAGGGACACACCTGGGACAGGTCAGGGACAGGGACAGGGGACACACCTGGGACAGGTGAGGGGACAGGGACAGGTGAGGGGACAGGGACAGGTCAGGGACAGGGACAGGGAACAGGGGACACAGGGACAGGTGAGGGGACACAGGGACAGGTGAGAGCCTGGCATGCCTGTGACAGGTAAGGGGACACACCTGGGGCAGGTGAGGGGACACGGGACAGGGGAGGGGGCACAGGTGACACCCCACACCTGGGACAGGTGAGACTCCACAGGTGGGACCAGCCCCACACCTGGGGGGACCCTCTGGGGTCACCTGTGTCCCTTTGGGGTCACCTGGGCAGGTGACCTGTGTCCCTCGGGGATGTCACCTGTGTCACCCCTGTGTCCCACCTGTGTCCCACCTGTGTCCCACCTGTGTCACCCCTGTGTCACCCCCGTGTCACACCTGTGTCCCACCTGTGTCACACCTGTGGGGACACTGGGGACAGGTGAGGGACACTGGGGACATTGGGGACACACCTGGGGACACTGGGGACACACCTGGGACAGGTGAGGGACACCTGGGGACATTGGGGACACACCTGGGGACACTGGGGACACTGGGAACAGGGGAGGGACACCTGGGGACACACCTGGGATAGGGGAGGGACACCTTAGGCACAGTTTGGGGACAGCTGTGGGGTTGGGGACACCTTGGGGACAATCTGGGGACACTCTGTGGCCGTTCTGTGTCCAGGCCCTGTCCCAGGAGCGGCTCCGGGCGGAGGCGGCCGAGGAGGAGCTGGGGAGGCTGGGCCGGGCCCTGAGCCGGTACTGGGGGCACTGGGGGCACTGGTTTGTACTGGGATGAACTGGTTTGTGCTGGGATGTCCCCATCGCTGTCCCCAGGCTGCTGGGGGCACTGGGGGCACTGGTTTGTACTGGGATGAACTGGTTTGTGCTGGGATGTCCCCATCGCTGTCCCCAGGCTGCTGGGGGCACTGGGGGCACTGGGGGGACTGGTTTGTACTGGGATGAACTGGGGTGTCCCCATCGCTGTCCCCAGGCTGCCGGGGACACTGGGGTTACTGGTTTGTACTGGTTTGTACTGGGATGTCCCCATTGCTGTGCCTGGGCTGCCGGGGACACTGGGGGCACTGGTTTGTACTGGGATGAACTGGTCTGTCCCCATCGCTGTCCCCAGGCTGCTGGGGACACTGGGGGTGGCCCTGGCCGATGTCACCGTGGCCGTCGGGGCCCTGGGGACCCTCAGTGAGCGCCTGGGACGGGCCCAGCACCGACTGCGGGGTCAGTGACACTGGGGACACCTGGGGACACTGCGGGGACACTGGGGGACACCTGGGGACACTGGGAGACACCTGGGGACACTGCAGGGACACTGGGGGACACCTGGAGACATTGGGGGACACTGTGGGGACACCTGGGGACACTGCAGGGACACTGTGGGGACACTGGGGGACACTGGGGGACACCTGGGGACACTGCAGGGACACCTGGGGACAGTTCAGGGATATTGGGGGGAGGATTTGGGACACCTGGGAGACCTTGGGAGGGGTTGGGGACACTTTGGGGACACTTCGGGAACACTTTGGGGACACCTAGGGGACACTTTGAGGGGCTGGGGACACTTTGGGGAGGTAGGGACATCTCTGGAACACCTTGGGGACACTTTGGGGACCTTTGGGACACCTTAGCAGGGGTTGGAGACACCTTGGGGACACTGTGGGGACACTGTGGGGACACTGTGGTGGCCGTGCCTGCTGCCCCCGTCCACTTTGGGGAGGTAGGGACATCTCTGGAACACCTTGGGGACACTTTGGGGACCTTTGGGACACCTTAGCAGGGGTTGGAGACACCTTGGGGACACTGTGGGGACACTGGGGACACTGTGGTGGCCGTGCCTGCTGTCCCTGTCCCAGTGTCCCCTCTGTCCCCAGCGCTGGTGGCCTCGGGGCGGCTCCGGTGGCAGCAGAGGCCGGAGGGGACAGCAGGGGACAGCAGGTGAGTGACACTGGGGACACTGGGGGTGGCCCTGGGGACATTGGCGTGGCCCTGGGGACAGCACCGACCCCAGTGGTGACACAGTGGCTTTGTCCCCTCTGTGTCCCCAGCGCGGTGGCCCCGGAGGTGACATCGGAGAAGGCGAGGGGGTGGCACCGAGGGGACCCCGGGGGTGGCTCTGTCCCCAGGGTGTCACCCCCGTGTCCCCCCCAGGCCACCAAGGGTGGGGACAGGACCCGGCCACGCCCAGGCGCAGGTGGGTGTGTCCCCAAATGTCCCCAACCTGGGGACACTGAGGGACACCTGGGGACACTGAGGGACACCTGGGGACACTGGGGGACACTGAGGGACACCTGGGGACACTGGGGGACAGCTGGGGGACACCTGGGGACACTGCAGGGACACCTGGGGACACCTGGGGACACTGCAGGGACACCTGGGGACAGTTCAGGGATATTGGGGGGAGGATTTGGGACACCTGGGAGACCTTGGGAGGGGTTGGGGACACTTTGGGGACACTTCGGGAACACTTTGGGGACACCTAGGGGACACTTTGAGGGGCTGGGGACACTTTGGGGAGGTAGGGACATCTCTGGAACACCTTGGGGACACTTTGGGGACCTTTGGGACACCTTAGCAGGGGTTGGAGACACCTTGGGGACACTGTGGGGACACTGGGGACACTGTGGTGGCCGTGCCTGCTGTCCCTGTCCCAGTGTCCCCTCTGTCCCCAGCGCTGGTGGCCTCGGGGCGGCTCCGGTGGCAGCAGAGGCCGGAGGGGACAGCAGGGGACAGCAGGTGAGTGACACTGGGGACACTGGGGGTGGCCCTGGGGACATTGGCGTGGCCCTGGGGACAGCACCGACCCCAGTGGTGACACAGTGGCTTTGTCCCCTCTGTGTCCCCAGCGCGGTGGCCCCGGAGGTGACATCGGAGAAGGCGAGGGGGTGGCACCGAGGGGACCCCGGGGGTGGCTCTGTCCCCAGGGTGTCACCCCCGTGTCCCCCCCAGGCCACCAAGGGTGGGGACAGGACCCGGCCACGCCCAGGCGCAGGTGGGTGTGTCCCCAAATGTCCCCAATGTGTCATCAAACGTGTCCCCAATGTCCCCAATATCCCCAGTGTGTCCCCAATGTGTCCCCAAATGTCCCCAAATGTCCTCAAATGTGTCCCCAATGTTCCCAATGTGTCCCCAATGTCCCCAAATGTGTCCCTAAATGACCCCAAATGTCCCTAAATGTGTCTTCAAACGTGTCCCCAATGTGTCCCCAGTGTCCCCAATGTGTTCCTAAACGTGTCCCCAATGTCCTGGGGACACCTGGGGACACTGCAGGGACACCTGGGGACAGTTCAGGGATATTGGGGGGAGGATTTGGGACACCTGGGAGACCTTGGGAGGGGTTGGGGACACTTTGGGGACACTTCGGGAACACTTTGGGGACACCTAGGGGACACTTTGAGGGGCTGGGGACACTTTGGGGAGGTAGGGACATCTCTGGAACACCTTGGGGACACTTTGGGGACCTTTGGGACACCTTAGCAGGGGTTGGAGACACCTTGGGGACACCTTGGGGACACTGTGGGGACACTGTGGGGACACTGTGGTGGCCGTGCCTGCTGCCCCCGTCCCAGTGTCCCCTCTGTCCCCTCTGTCCCCAGCGCTGGTGGCCTCGGGGCGGCTCCGGTGGCAGCAGAGGCCGGAGGGGACAGCAGGGGACAGCAGGTGAGTGACACTGGGGACACTGGGGGTGGCACTGGGGACATTGGCGTGGCCCTGGGGACATCAGGGGGTGGCCCTGGGGACAGCGCCGACCCCGGTGGTGACACAGTGGCTTTGTCCCCTCTGTGTCCCCAGCGCGGTGGCCCCGGAGGTGACATCGGAGAAGGCGAGGGGGTGGCACCGAGGGGACACCGGGCGTGGCTCTGTCCCCAGGGTGTCACCCCCGTGTCCCCCCCAGGCCACCAAGGGTGGGGACAGGACCCGGCCACGCCCAGGCGCAGGTGGGTGTGTCCCCAAATGTCCCCAAATGTCCCCAAATGTCCCCAATGTGTCATCAAACGTGTCCCCAATGTCCCCAATATCCCCAGTGTGTCCCCAATGTGTCCCCAAATGTCCCCAAATGTCCTCAAATGTGTCCCCAATGTTCCCAATGTGTCCCCAATGTCCCCAAATGTGTCCCTAAATGACCCCAAATGTCCCTAAATGTGTCTTCAAACGTGTCCCCAATGTGTCCCCAGTGTCCCCAATGTGTCCCTAAACGTGTCCCCAATGTCCCCAGTGTCCCCAGTGTCCCCTCGGTGTCATCAAGTGTCCCCAAACGTCTCCCAGTGTGTCCCCAAATGTCCCCAAATGTGTCCCCAGTGTCCCTAAAAATGTCCCCGAGTGTCCCCAGGTGTCCTTCCCAGTGTCCTCTCAGTGTCCCCAGGTGTCCCCTCACTGTCCCCAAGTGTCCCTCAGTGTCCCCAAAGTGTCCCTGAGTGTCCCCAACGTGTCCCCAACGTGTCCTGGCAGTGTCCCTGGCCCCATTGGTGACGCAGCTCCAGGCCCTCGGTGCCGCCATCCTCGGGGACATTGGGGACATCGGGGACCCTGCAGTGCCAGCGCCCCCCTGGGGACACCGGTGACATCGGGGACACAGGTGACATCACCAGGGAGCAGTGGCACCGAGGGGACAGAGGTGACGTCACTGTGGTGGTGACGTCACTGTGGTGATGTCGATGATGTCACTGTGGTGGCGATGACGTCATGGCTCTGGCTCAGTGTCACTTCGTCCCCACCCAGCCCCCGATGTCCCCAAAGCCACCAGGACCGTCCCACAGGGTCCCCAAAGAGTCCCTGATGTCCCCAGGGAGGTCCCCAACCCCAATCCCAATGCGCTCCAGGTGTCCCCAAGGTGTCCTCATGCGTCTCAGGAATGTCCCCAACTCCCCAAAGGTGTCCCTGAGGTGTCCCCAACCCCTCCCAGTGTCCCCAACCCCCCCCGAAGAGGCAAAGACCCAGACTGCGGGTGATGGACTCATCTCCATCACGGACATTCCACAGTGATGATGACCTTCAGGAAGACAAATGGTCCTTGATGATGACAACGAGGACTCCTGACAACCACGGACGGTCCATGATGATGACGATGACGAAAGCAAAGACCCATCAAGGCCATGGATGGCCCCGTTGTGACCATGGATGGCCTTTGATGGTGACAATGACAGTGAAGACCCATCAAGGCCATGGATGGCCCCATTGTGACTATGGAACCCCCAAATCTCCTCGGGACCTGCCAAATCCTCCCCAGGACCTCCAACTTCCCCTGGGCACCTTTTTTTAACGGCTCAAATTGGGATTGAAAGTTGATTTTCCAGGAAGTTCCTGGGTTTTTGCTGGAAAACCAGGAATTAGCAGGAAAATCAAGGTTTTATCCCAATCTGAAGCATTAAAATACAGGAACTTTGTGGAAAATCAAATTTTTTATCCCAATCTGAAGGATTAAAATACAGGAATTTCCTGGAAAATAATTTTTTTATCCCAGTCTGAAGCATTACAATACAGGAATTTCCTGGAAAATAATTTTTTTATCCCAGTCTGAAGCATTACAATACAGGAATTTCCTGGAAAATAATTTTTTTTATCCCAATCTGAAGCATTAAAATACAGGAAATTCCTGGAAAATCAACTTTTTATGCCAATTTGCGGCATTAAAAACTGATAACTCCATGGAAAATCAAAGTTTTATCTTAGTTTGGGGCATCTGGGGGGTCCCGGGACCCATTTTAGGGGTTTTCAGGGAATTCTCAGGATTTTAGAGTCAGGGTTCCATTTTTTGGGGGTTCCCACGAAATTCCCGGGATTTTGGTGCGGGGGGGTCTCGATCCCATTTTTGGAGTGTCCCTCCCCCTCCTCTCTTCCCCCCCCTCCCCACCCCCCGCATCCATTTCGGTTTCGATTCTCAGACCTTGCCACCTGCTCGGCCACGCCCCTTTCTCCAATCCAACCAATCAGAGCTTGTGGCGGAGCCTGGGGGCACAACCTGTGTGGGGGGAGTGAATGAGGAAGGGGAAATGGAGTCCTGGAAGGGGAAATGTGGCCTTGAGAGTGGGGGGCTCAGGGTCCTGGCAGGGGAAATGAAGGTCCAGAGGGGGTAAATGGGGTCCTGGAAGGGTAAACGAGGGTTCTGAAGCGTTCACTGGGACGGAATTCAGGACCCTCACTCGACCTGCCAGGACCCCCATTTACCCCCTTGGGACCCCCATTTACCCCCTCGGGACCCCCATTTACCCCTTCAGGACCCCAAATGACGTCTGTAGGATCCCCTTTCCCCCCTCAGGACCCTCATTGCCCTGCCAGGACCCAACTCGCCCCCTCAAAACCCCGCTTCCCCTTTCCAGGACCCCATTTGTCCCCATGACCCTGGAAACAGCGCCCGTATGTGACCTGGCCTTGCTGGGTTGGTCCCTGTCCCCAAATGTCCCCAGTGACGTCACCCCAGGAATTCCCATCATGGTTTCGGACAATTTTAATGAAAATTCCCCAAATTTGGCTCAAATCCTGTGCTGGGACGGTGGGAGGGGACAGGTGACACCAGCGGTGTCCCCGATGGTGTCACCACCCCAATGACATCACAGCGGTGACATCACTGTCCCTGCAGCAGCGTCGGGATGTCCTCCATGGCTCTTTGGCACCGCTCGGCCACCGCGCGGCCACCAGGGCCACCAGGGAGCCTGCAGATGTCCCCAAGTGCCCTCAGCAGGTGACGCGTGGCCAGGCGGGCGCTGGCCTCCCACAGCTGCTCGGCTTTGGCCACCATGGCCACCAAGGCCTCAGGGACATCGGGGGATGCCTGATTTGTCCCCTCCAGGGCAGCCTCGATGTCCCCAAGCCGGCGCTGCAGCTCCCTGGGGAACGCGGTGGCTCTGTCACACGCGGCCACCAAGCGCTCCAGCAGCCCCAGGGCCACCTCTGCCCGCTGTCCCCTCCTGGTGGCCGCCTCTGCCTCGTTGGTGGCCACCACGGCCTCTTCCATGGCCTTGGTGGCCGCCTCCACCTCACTGGCAGCCGCCTCCATACGGGCATCGTGTGCGGCCACCGCCGAGGCCACCTCCTCCTTGTCCAGGGCCAGCGGCGGCTGCCGGGCCGTGGCCACCAGGTTGTGCAGAGATGTCCCCCAGCGGGTGGCCGTGACCCGCAGGTCCCCGGCCCGGCTGTTGGCGGTGGCCGCAGTGGTGGCCTCCCCGGTGGCCGTGTCCCTGCAGGTGTCCCGGAGCTCGGTGGCCTCCCTGGCCAGCCGGGCCCAGCTGTCCTCCAGCGTGGCCACCGAGTCCCGCCAGGTGCTGGCCGCAGCTGTCACATGGGCCCAGGTGGCCCCCAGGTTGTCCCTGAGGGCGGCCAGGGCCTCGCCCAGGGAGGTGACTCCCCGCAGGCGCAGGGCCATGTCCTGCTGGTGGCCCGCGGCGGTGGCCAGGTGACGCCGCGATGTCTCCAAGCCCCGCCAGGCCACCTCGCAGGACACGGCCACCACCGTCAGGGCCAGCAGCAGGTGACAGTCCTCGGCCACCCCCAGGGCGGTGCGGGCCGAGTCCAGGGACACTGCAAGGACATGGGGACACTGTGCAGGTGGCACCTGGGACATGGCAGTGCCACCAGTTCCAGCCCAGTGCCACCAGCTCGGTGTCACCAACCCAGTTCCAGCTCAGTGTCCTCAGTGTCCCAGTGCCAGCCCAGTGTCACCACCCCGCTGTCCCCATACCAATGTCACCATGCCAGTGTCACCGGTTCAATCCCAGTGTCCCCTCCCAGTGCCCCCAGTCCTGTCCCCCTATCTCTGTCCCCGTGTCACCAGTCCCCTCCCACTGTCCCCAGTTCCAGCCCAGTGCCACCAGTTCTGTCCCACTGTCACCACCCGAGTGCCACCACCCTGAGTGTCACCAGCCCAGTTCCAACCCAGTGTCCTCAGTCCTGTCCCAGTGCCACCAGCCCAGTGCTCCCAGTGCCAGCCCAGTGCCAGCTCCTCATTGTCCTCATACCAATGTCACCAGCCCAGTGTCCCCAGTTCCAGCCCAGTGTCCCCACTCCATTGTCACCGTGCCAGTGTCACCACCGCAGTGAGTCATCCCAGTGTCACCAGTTCAATCCCAGTGTTCCCATGCCAGGGCAGGGGAAAGTCTCTACTGGTCTGTAGGGCTCCATACTGGTCTGTACTGGTCTGAACTGGTCTGTACTGGTTCCCTGCATCCCCTGCTGCCCCATGCTGCTCTATACTGGTCCATACTGGTTTATACTGGTCTGGAGTGGTCTATCCTGGTCAGGGCAGGGGAAAGTCTCTGTTGGTCTGTAGATATTCATACTGGTCCATACGGGTCTGAACTGGTCCCCACTGCTCTATACTGGTTCACAATGACCCTTACTGCTCTACAGTGCCTCATACTGGTCTATACTGGTTTATACTGGACAGGGCAGAGGGAAGTCTCTACTGGTCTGTAGATATTCATACTGGTTATACTGGTCTGAACTGGT